TCCCCATTCGACGTCCTTTCACCTTTTCTTTCAAAGCAAAATCGTATCAAGACGTGCCACGCAAATCTATAAAAATAAGCAATTCAAAAAAGTTACTCCGTGATTGGCTTTTTTTAGATTTTGTTACATTTCTAAGAAATTTTGTTTAATGTTTATTATACTTTCAGTTTCATAATTATTTGTTATCTTTTTAGGATATACAGCCAATTGTCAATAAATAAATACTATTGACTATAGAGCGTTTTTCGAAAATTTTGTTTTGAGTTTCTAATCTTTAAAGTGTTGTTGATAAATTATTGGCATGAATGTTGTTGCAATTTTTAAATTTTCCAATTATGTTATCAAATTACAAACTCACCTTATTCATTTCAATGATAATGACTAAATATGACATGTAATTTTGTCGTACGACAAATTGTAAAGTATGATTGAAAATATGCCGATATTACAAAACGACGTAGTAAGTATAATCAATAATAAAATTAATAAAAAATTAAATTATTCTCATTTTGAACACATTCGGTTAATAGTGCTTGAACGCTCCCATGATAGTACATCTGTCTATTTCTTTCATATGATTTGGTATGTAGTTCCATCTAGCTCTTGTGAGATAACAGCTAGCCAGTCAGAGACAATAATTAACGTTTAAAAAGTAAAACTCATCATCCTGTTATGCCATTCCCGTTCAACTTTGTGTAGGTCATGATACGAATTTAAGCAATTCAGTTTTACCACGTCAAGTGAACTGCAAGGTGCTTTCCTGGCTGGCTTATAAGCATATAGTAGGCCCCCTGCACTTGAGAAACTCTGTATCGCGAGTTTCATGGTGACATAGATAGACAATTACAAAGTACACCCTAGACCCGAGAGAAATAAATGTAGGCTCTTAGAATAATAACGCATAGAAACCTAGTCCGCACACGCTAAGTGAGGCAAATTGAAACGCTCCCAAAGGGCCTACACGAGCGGGCGGGCCGTCAGTGCTCAAAGTCAACTTGCACCGCGAACAGCTCAAGAATTTTAGCTAAAAATGACGAAAGGTGCGGTAAATGAGTGTAAAAATACGTCAGACAAACATAAAATAGATGCTAACATCACATTCCACAAGGAAGTAACGCGTTTCAACTTGTATTTTTATATAAATATTCACTAAAACCGAAAATTAACCTACTAGTAAAACTAACCTACATGAATTTAATTTTTGCCTCACTTGTGACAGTTCGTTTGATATGAAACTATCATTCTATGCGTTATTATTCTAAGTGTAGGCCATTCAAATATTTATCTCAGACCGGGAAACCCTGGACCTCCGCGTAGCAGTTCAGCATGGTAGCCCGTCGGCCACGGAGGCAGTTAAAGTTAAAATAATGACTATGTAAAGTACATACCACCAAAAATATTAAACCAGTTTAATCCGTAAAGTAGTAACACAAATTAGAAACTAGTAGTAGAAATTTTTTTGTTTTCAAACAAAATAAAACAATCTGTGTTTCGTTCCTGCTAAGATATTTGCCCTTGAGCTGTCGACTCTGATTGGCCAATACACTAAACAATCCGCCTACCTTGATGCTCTGGCCACACAGAGGCCGCGGAAGCGTTCCGGGCGCAAGAATTTTTGTGTTGCTCCGCTGAACGCACCACCTTTAAGAATTTGCGTCCTAAATTTGGAAACATAACGCTTCGTGCGAATGTTTGGAATATCCACAAGATTGAGGTAGAAAATCAGTCTATGTCTAATTAAATATAACCATTTTACCATGCCATAGCCATGATAAGTGGATTGACGTTCACATTAGGAAATGGCATTTAGGCTACAAACAGAACGACAGCCAGCAGCGGAGCGGTGGCGATGGCGATGCGGTAAAAGTGGCCTGTTCTTGACAACCAATAACAACAGGACAGGACGTCTGTGCGAGAGCGACATAGCGTGCGGTCTCTACGCGAGATCAGCAGTATCTCGCGCTTTATGTCTCTGTCGCGCAACTCACGGCCTGCGTTAAAGTGACGTAACGAGAGCATGAACGCGATGTCGATTCTGTGACGTGACGTTTTTCTAGTACCTAATTCTTTTGAGTATCAGTTACTATGGTCGCAAGAAGACTGTAATCCGTACCACAAACAAAGAAGAACAAAAGGAAAAATCCGCAAAACTTCTATAATAATGCTCTAGAATAATTGTGGAAACGTTTGACTGTATTCTTGGAAATATCAAGCCAGAATTGGAATCACATTTTAAAATTATGAACGAATAGTAATCTCTATTATTCTATTTATAGTGATTAATAGTCCTTGATTTTTATGGTCAATGTTTGCTGTTCCATGTTGATGGTCTTAAAACTGCCGAAATTATTTCCAGGGACGACATCTTTAAATTTGAATCATCGAAACATTGGTGCTGGTAGGTAACAAGACGACATTACTATGACCGCCGCTCGACTGCGCGACCCTCATGTGCCGTCGCAGCCGTCGAGAACAGCATACGTAAACTGCCTAAGTCTTTATCAAGCCGCGCAAACCGCCATCCGCATCGCTGTCGCTACCGCTTAAGAATGAACACAAAATCGACGGGTGTTCACGGTGCTCCCGTTGACAAGTTACACAACAACCACAACGCGTCGTGATCAAATACCATAAGGCCGCAAATTCGCAACGGTGATGCGTTCAGCGGCGCGTTCAAGGTTTGCAAGTACGCACTTTGTGCTTTATTTTTGATGTATCCAAACACACCCCGGACACTCCATACAACGATCGAAAGTTATTTACCTACTACTACTACATACAGCAAGGCGTACACGCGCAAATGTGTGCGTGAATTGGTAGGGTTACCCATCACTTTCCCGTACGTAGTCTGAGTTTGTTATCTATAATTCTATTAATAGAATCCTAATAATTGCACACGTTCATTAGGTATTTAGGTACATCAATATAATATTATATTTTTTTAGTTTATTTAAAAAATAATGATTTAAGCACCTAAAATATTATATTTTGGACAGATACATTTCAATAAGGTAACCAAGGTATTTGAAACTGCGTGTCCAACTTTATTATTCCCAAGTTAATAATAATTACATTCATTGCATATTAATCGAAAATACAAAATTGAAAATTCGAGAACCCTTGTCTACTATATTACATCTCATTATATTGATGTAATAAACCTGTATTATATATTACTCTGCACTAACGAAGAAAGCAATAACTGAATGAGTCTAAGACATAAGTTTTTTTACATATCTCGTTTCGTCTTTCGAAAAACGAAAGCAACTTGTCTCTTTCGGCCGTACGCAGCACAAGTCACGTATAATGACGTTGTATATTAATGTACAAGTTTGATAATGAATAAATGAAATCTATATTAATTATATTCATAATATAAAAACCGTCTTAGAGCGAAAACGGTTCGCCGACAGCCTTGTTGCCGTTCCGTCAATGTGCGGGGCGTGGTGCGGTATCTAAAGCTAGGGAGGGGCGGAGAGTGTTCATTCTCGTTGGTTTTTGTTCTCTGTATCCAACATAAGATACACATTTTCGCGCAATGTACGCGCAAGCCTTAAATCCCCCGAAGGCTGCACTTCACCGAATTTGCGAGCTAAGGTATGCTCGACGCGAATTTATGTATTTTGAGCTAACTACAACACGTTCAGGCGAAACTATCATAACACGTGTAATGCGTTTTTTTCGCTCAATGAGCGTTTTCGTTTTTTGAGCCTAACATTATAATTGAATCATATTTCATTTCTACTTGTACCTTGAGTAATGATCTTTAAAACTTTTCCTGTTTTACTATACATATATCCATACGTAGATGCCATCCCAAAATCATATCTCTCAAAACAAAACCACTATGTATGAAAGTAACTTAAAAATCTTCTAACACTTTTCGTTCATTTCACAATAAAGATCAACACAGATTTAAGTCAAACGGATTAGAAGTTTTGGGGTCAATATATGAATATAAATATGAAAAGGAAACTGTCGAGATTCAAACCTAAATCTAGATTTAAACCTTTGTTCAGCTTGCACTTTCTTTATGCTTTACAATTTTTATAAATCGAAACTCTGTGTTAGACATATTTATTACATTTACCCATAAATACGCTGTACGGGGCTCAAATTTGAAGCACAATTTAATAGAATGTTCGAAGGGTGGTTTCCTGCTCACCCCTGCTACACTCTATTAAAAGACTAAATCGATAGCAATACGCGTGATCTGTGGGTTTCAGTCAGCCTCCCCACCCCACAGCATGCCCACTCTCGGTTGCTAGGAGGTCAACGGTAAGAGCACTGACAATTTCCTAGAATATACTGTACACTATGTACCCTGACGAATTTATGACGTTACTATTTGTCACTCGAACCAATATATCTTTTCAACCATTTTTAGGTTGCATGGTAGGGACTTGTGCGGAAACATCTTCAACCCATTTATACGGCCCACTGCCGAGCACGCTGGTTGGGGACTTCACATGTTTCCCGAGGGTTTGTGAACCTTCTTCGACGTGCAGTTCCCTCTCAATGTAGTCCTCATGGCAAACTCAGAGTGGCGAGCCCGGCTTCGAACCTACGGCCTCTGCTTGAGAGGCAGTAGGATACACAATTAAGCTTATTTCATTATGCGAAAATGCCGATTGTCTTTTGTCTCTGTACAGGCCTAGATAAAGCATTAAGTATAGTAAATGTTTCAAAAAATTTAAAAAAAATTAAAATATTTTATTGACAAGCGCGGTTTATATACGGACAGTTGAACCTGTCCAGTACCCTGCTCACCAGTGCCGATGCGCGTTGGCGCATGATCGTGTAGAAGCAGTCGACTTGCGCCGCTGCGAATACGCGCGAGGCGCTACAGTACCGGAGCAGCCCCAAACCATTAAACGCATTATTGTATTAGACACGAAGGGCCCATACGACTTTTTAGAGTACTTCTCCCACAGGCTACACGTGTAGAAAGATGTACAGAAAGCCCTGAAAAGTGTTTTACGAAGTTAAATATACTTTACCGGTGTGGAGGGCCGAGGAGTTGTTGTAGGTCTCGGTCGCATTGTAGTCTCCGCTATTTTGGGCTCGGTGAGGCAGCAGGTGGCCTCCCCTGGACATGACGCATCCTCGTCTACGTGGTCGCAAAGTAAAGCGAATAGACCACTGATACAATCCCCGCGACATTTACGGTTAGGTTTGATCTTTGGAGAAGGAGTCGTTGTCAGCTGAAAAAAGGACCGGTGTCGAGGCTTAAGCGATCATTCTCGGACTAGTGTTCACTGCCCAATTTGAATATTTAAATAATAAAAATTGCCACGGAAATTAGGTAGTGAACACTAGTCTGAGATAGCCGTAAGGTAAAGTAAACAAATTGCTTTATTAATAAGGAGCAATTTGTTTATTATTAACATTAAATCGAACAGAATGTTGAAGCGTAATTATATAGACAAAATTTCTTGCTTCTTGCTTCCTTTATGGGGAACTGTGTACGTTTTTACAATAAGATTCCGGAGCATATATTAAGATTACCATTTTCCAAGTTTAAAACTTACATTAAAAGTATTTTAATTGAAAAGTCATATTACAAAATTGAAGAGTATATGTGTTAGATGAAAATGTATCTAAAGACAACGTGAGGCTAAATATGATTCAAAATGTATTCTATAGCATTTATGTTTATTTGAAAAGAGCAATCCCTAGAGTTTCTTACTTGTTCTTTTCAGAGAGGTCAGCGTAGTGAACGAGCAGTAGCTTAAAAAATGACGTTTTCAAGTGTAAAAATTTTACCTATGGAATAAATGATTGTTTGACTTTGACTTTGGCTGTTACAAATCATAAAACATCACAATACAATAGTATAAAGTAAACACAAAGTAACAAAGTAAGTAAGAACAAAGAAATTGTTATACAAACCAGATACATTCACTGTGCAGTACAAAGACTGAAATTCGCTTTTGCAAGACAAGAGGCAGTAATTAAGTGTCGCTGGCACGAGATACTCACCGCGGTTGCGGGTCTTTTCGTAGCGTGTTTTTTCTCATTCGGTACAACCAGGTCGGACGGAGGTCTGTCTCCGTACCCGTCCTTAGATACGCAGCATAGCCTTCCCGGGACGCAAAGATCGTTAGAAGTCAAATACGCTTCACAGTACTGTGTGAGTCTGGCTTCAACACACACGCCAGGGCACGCGATGTTTCCTGAAAAATTACGTGGATGAACCCGCGGCACAGCCTCGACTGTGGCTCCTTATACCGTACAGCTTCGTATTCCTCGAATTCGCTCGGCGTCTAGCTTAAATTAAAATATCCTCTCTCATACTTCGTCCTTCCATCCCTGGTTGCAATATTTACAAGTTAAACAATTCGCGTAGCAAAATTTATTACATGTTAACTAAAAAATGTTTTATCTGTACGCGAACTACCCTGTGAACAGAAATAATTAAAGTGCCAGGGGCCCGTATCAACACGTCCATCTCGTGGTACAAAACCAATGTCCATTTACCACCCCCCGACCGTTCGGGGAACCGCGTAATACTTTACATAAAGGCTTTATTATGTAGTGCATTTCCAGTACCAGCTCACTCATATTATACAGACATGTTAACTGCCCCAGGTTTGGCGTGTCTAGATTCGATGGCTGGATGGCTAACTGCAGCGAGTAAATAATAAGAGCAAATAACTAACAGTACATAGGGTGTCTAGCCCACGCAAAGCTCTCGCCCTGAGTGAGAGCTACCCCCTGGGGAGATATGTCTGTGAAGTTTTTGTGCAGGTAGTTATTAAATCTCCCTGCGGCGTTCGTGTTTTACAATATTGACATACCAAAATTTCCCCTAATTTGATGTTGTCTGTAAAGTGAAGCTGTTTTATTGTAATTTAATAATGACCTCGGACAGCGAGTAATGGGTATTTTGTCGAGTGAACACAATATTATTGAGTTATTTTAAAGGATATGTGGATGACGAAAGTGTTGTGTCGTGCATTTAACAACAAAAATACGTACTTGATTAGTCCGTTGATTTTAACCTGTTTTTTTTGTTTTGTAGCCCTTAGCTTCCTACTTATGTACCTTAGATGTATACCTAATAATTACCACTGTCTTTGTATTTGTCGTGGTGCGGTGACCGCGTCGTGTGGTCCTCCTCGTCGCTCTCAGCCTCAGTGGTGGTATAGCGCGTCGTAAACGGTCTCCTTGTTGTGGCCAAAGTCTCGTTACCTGTTGTAATTAATATTTTATGATAAGACGTGTGGTTATTAACTTAACAATTATTCATAATTACTATGCTTCTACTATGGCTATATTACGTAACAGAGAAGAGAACGAAACAGGAGAGCTCACGCTACACTACACTCCTTGTCATAAACAATGCATTAGATTTTGGTAATTTTCGAGATATTGACATCTAGCTTTAGCCGCCACTTTGGACTATAAAATATGAGTCATGATTTTTTTAATCTGAAAACCTCTACTTCGGAGCTAATGTTTGGCGGTCTTTTGCCGATAGTACCAGTTTCGGAAAGGTACAATTCTGAATTGGTTCTTTGCCATCGTGTACCAAAATTCCGTGAGTTCAGAATAGTGCCCCAATGACAATGCTATTGCTCTTGTACTTATACCACACCCCGGACACTCCATACAACAACTACTACATACAGCAAGGCGCTATTTGCACAGGCGCAAATGTGTGCGTGAAGCGGCAGGGTTACCAATCACTTTCCCGAATGTGGTCAGAGTGAAACTTTATATTAACTTATTTAACTTAATATTACAAACGCAAAAGTAGGTCTATTTGTTCCTTACGTTTTCACGCCTAAACTGGTCAGCTAATGATGAATTTTGGCAAAGAAATAGATGGAACCTAGGAGAATGACATAGACTACTTTTTGTCACAAAAATAAATCTTAAAGGGGGTAAAATAGGGGATGAAAGTTTGTATTGAACTTGAATATTTCAAAACCATCTTTATTTCATAGGTAAGCATATAACTCTACTATGTATTCGTAAGGCGGATTCCCTTGAGAAAATGAGCATGAAACTCTAGGGGTTGTTCTTTGTGAATAAACATTTGAATACATTTATCATTTACAATATTTATTTCAAACATCCTAGATTGAGAATGCCTGCAGGAATTAAGCGGGTCACTACACTGGGGTTTTTTGTTTCACTATAGTTTTAAACCTCGTAAATGGCAAATTTTGAATATCAACCGGAATCTTATTAGAGAAGCCTATACATTAAATGAATTTGTGACTTTGTGAAGACGACTATGAGAACAGCCAGTTTATTTTAATTCATCGTGATATAGTCATGTCTGTCACTATATTTCATAAAAAAAATACTATAAATAAATAAATAACCTTTTCGTAAATGTACTGCGACCCTAGTGTAAGAATGTTAATCTCTTTAAACTTATCTCTCAAACACACACTCTGGGGCGCAGATTGTAAATTGCCCTAACCACACGTACAGAGAACCAATAAAGCTATGGAAATTAATATAGTACAATAGGCTACTCGAAGTTACAGAAACCAGGAGCCTACTATGAGCTTATAAGCAGCCAGCCAAGTTCCATGCAATTTACTTGTCGTGGTAAAACTGAATTGGTTAAATTCATGTCATGACCTCATTGACTTACAATTATATGGACGTCGGGTCCGCGCTAAAAAGTGTCCGAACTTATAGGGCGTTAAAATCGTATACAGAGCGTCATTCACGCTTTACTCTTCGTTTGTTCGACTGACAGCGTGATACTGTGATGACATTACAATTTAAATTTCGAATAGGTTGACTTGGGACATTTTTTTCGTTGGTTTTGTATTAGACTCGTCGTCCATTTATTTGTAAGTCTAGAACTAGAAATCATACTCAAGACCTTGCCATCGAGTATATTTCTATATACTCGATGAATGCATTATAGTCAAATTTGGCACTATGTAAAAGTTATTTCACTATTTTCGGTCAATAAAATTATTAAAATGATTAAAATTCCATTTAAAAATTGCAGTAACATTCATGCCAATAATTTATCAACAATACTTTAAATATTGGAGACTCGAACTAATATTTAATGTCCCAAGTCAACCTATTTAAACGTAGTGACATGTAAAGGAATATGAAAAAGCTAAAACGTTGAATTTAAATTGTAATGTCATCGCAGTACTATCTAATTTTGCTTGCTTCGCTGTCAGTCGAACAAACGAAGACTAAAGCGTGAATGACACTCTGTATACGATTTTAACGCCCTATAAGTTCGGACACATTTTAGCGCGGCCCCGACGTCCATATAACTGTAAGTCAATGTATATAGCCTAAAAAGATAATAAATAAATAGGAAACTGAAAATACAATAAAATTTAAACGAAATTTCTTAAAAATGTAACAAAATCTAAAAAAGTTAGTCAAGGAGTAACTTTTTTTGAATTGCTTATTTTTACAGATTTGCGTGGCAAATGTCATGATAGGATTTTGCTATGAAAGATAAGGTAAATGGATTTCGAATGGGGAAAGTAAACTGCATGGACTGTGAATTGTTTTACTGAGGTCATCATTGACTTACAAATAAATGGACGACGGGTCTAATACAAAAACCACGAAAAAAATGTCCCAAGTCAACCTATTCGAAATTTAAATTGTTATGTCATCGCAGTATCGCGCTGTCCGTAGAACAAATGAAGACTAAAGCGGAGTGTCGCGCTCTGTATACGATTTTAGCGCCTTACAAGTGCGGACACTTTTTAGCGCGGACCCGACGTCCATATAATTGTAAGTCAATGGAGGTCATAGTACGAATTTGACAGGCAATCCAACTTACAGGCTTAAATAGGATTGCTCTAAGAGCTCATAGTAGGCCCCCAGTATCCTATATGTTTTTAATCTTAGTTAGTCACGTTATGTACCCAGTTAATTCTTACGTACTCAACCGTCCGGTTGACCGGTAGAGGATACCTAATAGTATTAAGTCCGTAGTAGATCGGATATTAAGTAGTTTACTCGTAAGCCATTTGTTCTTAAAACGATCATTCTCTTACTTAGTGCTTTATTATTTAAGCATTGAATTATTTATCGTGTAATGTTATTTAATAATTACACGATAATATTCTTGAATGTTTAATTAAAATTATCACGGAAATTAGCCTGCCTGTCGCTTGGTGTCGGTCCATGAGCTCCATCAGCTCGTCCCGCCCGCCTCCTTTAACCATCAGACATCCAGACGAATGGCGGGATATCATTCTTACTTGGTCGCTATTCGCTTCAGGCGCACTTTTTATCGTCTTTGTTATACTCGTACGCCTAACCCAGGAATGGAATTCCCTGCCAGCGATTGTGTTTCCGAGCACATACAACCCGGTACCTTTAAACTGCCACTATATGCCTATGCGCATTGTGTGGGCGAGCTCGTTCCATCGTAGATCCTAGCTTTAAATACAGAGTAACATAAGTCCGAAAATGACCACCTAATATAAATAACGCGTACCACACTCATAACACGAGGCAAACCCTGTATCGGGTGCCACGCACATAGACTACTACAAATTAGTACACCCAAACTCATGAGGGAGAAATAAATGCAGGCCATATAAATATTTCTCCCGGCTGGGGAATCGAACCCGGAACCTCTGGGCAATTTGTAAGTCGAAGGCAGTTTGTAAATAAGGTGAAAAATGGGTTCAAAAAGAAGTCATTCATCAGTGTTCATTATGTAACTGTTACCATTGTTTTTGTGAGTACAATGACGCTTTTGAAATTGTTTTTCATTATTCCCAAATTACGGGTGAACAGGGTGCAATAAAGGAACGCCTGAGCAACAATCCGCGAATACCTTACGCAAAATTGTCAAACCTTTTCATCTCGATGGCAAGCATAATAGAGTACAGGACAATATTCATTGTTCTAATTCAAGACAAACATTTCTTACCGGGCGGTTCGTCGACGCAGCACTTCATTGAGGGGTTGGGGCACTCGACTTCGTCCAGCACGTTCGAGCAGATGAGTGACGCCAGCGCGTGCATGCACACTCCCGGGCAGTTCTTCGCGTCCACCTGGGTGTCCAGCGTATCCAAAAGACCTGTAATGCAAAAAATAGATATGCTTTATATCAAAATCAGACCAAAATTAAACAAGAGGTAAAGGTACTACACTATCAAGTAGGTGCGAGAACGAACTACAAGAAGAATGTAAATTACCTCAGAAACAAATACAAATCTACGACTCAAAGGTTACAAAAACACCCGAACATAACAATAAGATAATGGTGTTATATGGTCTACCAGAAATCAGTTGGGAAATAGAAAGTGATCTTATTGACCGAATCGTAAACATTTTTTATGATGTACTAAATATTGACCTGACTGGTTATATAGAAGAAATTTCACGCATAGGAAGGAACGGCTCACAACGACCAGTAAAAATCGAGCTCATAAGTAAGGGTAAGACAAAACAAACACTTGAAAATACTCAGTATTACCATGGACCAATAACCCAAGAGGACTGCTAATCTCCATATTAAAAATCGTAGCTCTGAAAAAGGTCAAAATTCCGTCTTATTTCTAGATGGCGCTGATCGATAGCCTGGAATTAGTTTATATTTACGTAAATGGCCGTGGATATCGATTAACTCCTCTTTTATAGGAAATATAGTAGATATTCTATTTTTCTTGTAATGTTTTTCAAATATTTAGTAATAAACTAAAATTATTCTCTGAACTTCGATATTTATGCGTATCAATAGATGGCATTGTTCGTTGTTAACTAATTAATAACGTAACGCTTGCGAATATAGTTAGATGGCGCAAATCCTAAACAAAATAAAAGAATACTTGGAAGTATCTATAAAAATCTGAGCAATATAGTATAACCTAAAGGAAGTCTAAATTGTCATCCGTTTGCGGTGGCGCACAGTGGGCCCAAATTGATAATTCTTGGACATAGGAATAACTTGTGGAGTATCGAGCTAATTTTTTTATGTGATAGACAATAACACTCCTAACAACTTTTATTCTTGTATGATTTCTTGAAAAGTTAATAGTTTCAGAGAAAAAAAATATAATTTTTTTTTTGTGGAGAAATATACATTTTGTTCTTTATCTCAAAATATACGAAAATGTAGTGTGCGTGGGTTACTTACAGTATAGTTCCAATCATTTTCTATGTAGAAAAAAATAATCCGTCTGCATGTACTTGCGGCTTTGTAAGTAGAGGTGCGGCAAAATTGCTAACTCTTTTATGTACTTTTTTAACAAAATACATGAGCTTCGACTAAAGAAAATTTAATTTTAGTGCTAAATTACACAGAGCGTTATAACAATAACACGAAAGTTAAGTAGAAACTAGTATATTGTGTTTTATTTTTTAATAAATAACAAATCTAACATTTTGACATCTTTTTACTCGTAAAGCCGCAAGTACCTGCTGATGGATTGTTTTTTTCTTGATAGAGAATGATTGGACTTATACTGTAAATAAAGCACACATTACATTTTTCTACAATTCGAGATAAAAAAATAAAATGTTTATTTCTCCAAACAAAAAAAAAACTAAAATTTTTTTCTGAAACAATCAGCTTTCCAAGAAATTACATAACAATAAAAGTTACCAGGAATGTTATTATGTATCATGTGAAAAAAATCAGCTCTGTATTCCTAAAATTGTATCATGATTAAATAATTATTTAGCCTAAAATTTATACTTTTTATTTCCGTTATTTTTAATTACCTTCAGATTAATTTATACTGGGTTGTTGGACTTTATGCACTGTTTGTAATGGATGACATATTACACACAGATTACACGAAGCTCATGTATTTTGTTAAAAAAGTACATAAAAGAGTTAGCAATTTTGCCGCACCTTT